AAAAAAAGTCAGAATTGTGCCCTTTTGCCCAAAATAAGCTTTCATATAATTTTAGTACCATTGAAATGCTATTATAATTTTTGTAATATTCTGAATTTGTATTTTATTTTTATATTATTCATTTACATTTTCGTTTTAGTTTAATTTTGTTGTGCGTGTTTTTTTTAATACATACAGTATTTTTTTAAACATATACTATTATGTTTTATTTCAGCTTTTTATATTTTCATTGAGTTAACTATTTCAAGTAACATTTTTTATGGTTTTACTCATAGTTATAATAATTCAACTTAATAATGAACTATAACCATTTTGACACGCACTAAATTAACTTCAATCTTCAAAACTGTAAATAATAGATTATTGGAGTACATTTTCCAAGAAAAGTCTATTTTAGTCTTTAGTCTATTTATTGTACTTGCCATTTCTTTGTAATTAATTGTACAATTTACTTGCAATTTCTAAGCAACATTTTTTCTTAATTTTTTCCGTGTACATGAATGTGTGTGAGACTGATAGAATGTTTTCTACCTTTTTCCCTTCAGCGTTGTATTTATCCAGGAGTCTTTGAACGCGAGTGCCGTAATCGGGGTGAACGGCCATCAGGTTTTGCACCTGCAAAAATTACAAAAATCCATCTGAATCATTCAGAAACAAATGGGTTTTTTTCTAGGCATGTTTATATATTCCTGAAAAACTGCTAATGAGAAGTTTGACTAGCTGTCATGAGATTTACGAGAGTGAAAAATCTCACAGGACCAAAAACAAAACCTCATACCATGCGTTTCTGAATAAACAGTTGAGTTCCTTTCAGGTGGCCGGCCATGTTCTGACACAGACGCTCTCGCTCGGCTTCGTTCAACACCTCCGTGAAAAACGTGCGCACCTGCAGAATGCATCAGAGCAGGATTAGAACTCACCATACTTGTGATTATCCATACACAGATGCACACACACGTTCACCAACAAACCTGGGCCACATTGTCATCGTCTGCGCTGTTGTATCGGGCCACATCAGGAGACACTTTACACTTGGACTCGATGAAGCGTGGCTGGGTCTCAGGAGCACTGAAGCTGTTGGGGAAGTAGTTAGGAGCCCCCCCTGCAGGACAGGAGATGAACTGCTGTTGTTTTGCCACAAAATTCAATGAACAATGAAATGCAAGTTTGGGTCACATCAGGCATTCCAGACAGATGTTGCATTGTTCATCTGACTCACTTTTAAGAGACTAATACCATCTCTAACTCAAAACCAAACAAAGCATTTGACATCCCATTTTTTGTTCTGCCGTGTTTGGAGTGTGTGTCACTCACCCTGGTTGTCGTACATGCACATGGGTCCGTCTCTCTGGTAGTTTGCCACATGGGTGCGGTAGGGGCAGTTGACAGGCAGTTGGAGGTAATTCGCTCCAAGCCGATGTCTATGTGTGTCTGGATATGAGAATAGACGCCCCTGTGGCAACAAAATTGAGCAATTACAGTATTTAGCAACATTCTTGCAATTAGTTATAAGTCACTGACACTTTAATCCAAAGTGATTTACAGGACGCTTATTACAAGTACGCAGAGCTTAAGTGCCTTGCTCAAGGACAAAATAGTGAACAAGCATCCTTTTGTGCATTTTAAGCTTGTGCAAACGAACCTATGAAATGTGTCTGGGTAGGTTGCTTAATAAGTTGTGAGACACATTAGTACAAACATACCTGCAGCATCTTGTCCGGGCTGGGCTCAACACCGGGAGGCATGTTACTGGGATCAAACGCCAGCTGCTCGACCTCAGCGAAATAGTTGACAGGGTTTCGGTTCAACACGAGGCGTCCCACAGGAATCAGAGGGAAGTCTTTATGGGGCCAAACCTGAAAGATACAGAGCCAGTCATTGGGATGGGCACACCTACATCTCATTCTTTGTTATGAAGAACGAGTTATTTCATCAAAACTATAAAAGAACACAAATGGAAGAATAGGAATTGTGTAGTGACCAAAGCAAGACATTAGTGTAGTGCAGTGGTTCTCAACCAGGAGGCCCGGGCCCATTAGGGGGCCTCAGCAAACTTCCATGAAGGTCCCATTAAGTCATAAACATTATTTAAATATTTTTTTAATACTTATACGTTACACATAATTTATTTTAAATTAATGTTGTGGTAACCTTAAAATGCTAAAAAAAAAAAAAAAAAAAAAAAAAAAAAT